TTATGTCACTAAGGGTTTAAACACTGATATATCATTAACATTTTTGTGTTTTTCTGATATGGTCACTAGATTTGATTGCCAAAATATGACTTAAGAGTCAATTTAAATTAAGTACCCTTGTGTCTATTAGCTAAAAGCTCCATTGTCTCACAGTCATGTCCAAATAATATGAGACATATGAGTGCAAAAGTTATTTGATTAAGTAGCATATGCACTCAAAACCTGAGGTAATGGTAAGAATACAGAAATTAACCAAAAGGACCCGCCCTTCCCTGCCCACCTTTAATGTCATTAAAAAGACCTGTAATTTGTTTTTTTGTACAAAGACCACTTACAGCTTTCAAATAAGACATGAATCATTTTTTAAAGAAAAAAGTAAGGGATAAGGAGTAAAAAAAAAAAAAAAACAGAAAGACTATGAGATTTGAGGAAGGAGTAACAATATAGAGCCCAGAAAGGTCACAGTTGAAAGAGGCCACTGAAAGTGAAAACAGCTGGAGAAAAGTGAAGATAAGAAAAATGATGTTAGCATAAGTGGTGAAGATTAGAAGGTTTCAGAGTCATAGAAAGGAAAAAAAACTGATAATGGATAAAGGGAAAGGGAAAGGAATCCGGTCTATCTAACTGGACCACCTAAAATGTAATCATTCTTGGTGAGAATTCCAGGACAGAGATGTTAGATTTGGTTTCTTTTTTAAGACATTTTGAAGCCCAGTAGGACAATCGTCAATTTAAGCTCGACTAAAGATGATTACTGAAACAAGTCATGTGGTAATTTAATTTCAATTTCATTTTAATTTAAGTTTTGATTAACTTTTTAAGAAAATCTGTTTTTCCTATACCTAAAAGTTGTTTCTGTTTCTTAGAAGAGAAAATTACACGATAAAATGTTTGAGGTATTTTTTAGCCATTTACATATGAGATATTTCTTATGTAGTTCAATGAAGAGGTGAAGCTTTACCACCTTTCCTTTTGTACATTCCTGCCACCTCCAAATGTAAAGTTTTCCAGATTTGCCAATGGGCAAGACCAAACCAGTTTAAATGTCTCATCATTTTGACCCCAAGACTCCAAAGGTCTGATCTTCAAGGATAAGGAGAGGTAAGTTGCTTGTGTTAAATCAAATCAAAAAATGCTTATGCATTTAGTGGGTGTGTTGCAGGTAACTTCAAAGATTGTGTGAGTAATGAGTAAGAGGTGCAGAGGTGGTTTGGGCAGTGCTATTTGATTTCAGGGGGTACTAGGAGTCGAGGGAGAGCAATATGGAGGACCGACTCTGCCATATTTAAAAATAAATACGGAAATAAATGCATGCTCAATAAATAAATAAGAATGTAATTAATTGCCCCCAAAATACAATAAACAAATACATGTAGGTAGAAATAAAATAATAGAGTGAGACGAATGAGGAGAATAAAACAGACAAAAATATTATATTATACACATAAATAAATACTTAAAAAAATAAGTAATAAATAAATAAATAAAATTGAAGTTTATAAGGGACAATAAATAAATAAGGTAATTATTAAAAAGGTGAATAAATAAAGAAGCTAATTAAAAGAGATTCATACATTTATGTCTCACTGCATAATTTAATTTTTATCTATATTTATTAGTTTATTGTATTTTGGGGGGCAATTACTTGTATGCTTATTTATTTATTGAGCATTTATTTATTTCTGTATTTATTTTTAAATATGGCAGAGTTGGTCCTCCATAGAGCAGCGTGGTAGAAGAGACAATATATCATTATATGTAATAATAGCCATATGTAAAATAATAACATATTTAATATTGTAAAATTCTTGGTTTAAAATCCAATGAAGCCTAGTTAGCCTGTAATCAAATTTGATCTTCTGCATTATTAGATGTATAGAAAAGTAATACAGCACATTTTTGGCAGTCTGTTTCCCTGCAAATGAAACCAGAGGCATATGCACGTATTCAAATTATTGCTTATATGTCTATTAATGACATCAGAAGTAGGCTCTATTGTCCAATGAAAACTGACTGAACCTAACAAAAACCCCAGATATTCTAGACATCACTCTGACTATAGTCAGAATTGTTGTGGATGACGTTCATGTTGACAGGTCTGCTCATATTGTCCCAGCTAAGCATTAAGCGGTGTCAGCACGAGCAGCTACTGCTGTTGTAGTTGAGATGGAAATGTCATAAAATAGAAAGAGCCTCTCTGTACTTCTCTCTTTCAGCTCGCGCCGCACACAAGGCTGCTGCATTTAAAAATCAGGTCAAACTGAATATCCCGCCGCTGGCTGCTCTGATATGCTGGTAAAACGACTCGCTATGGCTGTATTGCTGGAATCCCACAGCTTGTTTGGATAACGGTTCCCAGTGCCTATCTCCAGTTTGCTATCATTTCAGAGCAACATACAGATATCTGCAGTTTAGTTTGCCAAAGTAACAAAAATATACGAGCTGAAATTATATTTAGGAGCTAGAAAAAAAGACTTCTGCAACATTTTTCTTCAGTTTTATTTCAGTGTTTGTTTTTTAGTTTTACTAAAGAACCAACATTTGTTCTTTGGTAAAACTGAAGAACAAGTTTTACCAAAGAACAAAAACCTAATGATAAAAGAGGCTGGTGGAGGTCAACCATTTTCTTCCAGTTATCTTGGCAGATTTCTTTAGATTTCATGAAAACAAGAAACGCATGTGTTTAGGGGTTTGCATTAAAACATGTGCCTCCTTTTAACTGAAAGGATTTGAATTGACTTCAAAAGCTTTTCCCACAAAGTAAGCAAATCTTTTATTTTAATCAGAATATATATTGACAATTTTAAAAATAAATAATACTGCAATCCAAATATATACAAATGGTTTATTTAAAATTTTCTTTATCTCTTTTTGACACTTTTAAAAACATGAATTAGCATTTAAGGGGTTAAAAATGGGTCTGATGTATTCATCAAATAAATTCTCTTATTGTTTTCTTTTTACATTTTTTATCTTATTAACCAAAGAAAATGTCTCTTTCACAATATTCCCACTCATCTGTTATATGATGAGATTTTAAAAAGCATTCCAAGGGTGGGAAATTCCACCCTTTTTTTTTATGGTTTTATCTATTTTGTCTGTTTTTTGGGGGTTACAGTTGAAGTGGAGATCTGTTTAAGTCCTGTAAAGTGGCTTAAGATAGACAGTGTTACATGAAATTACTATGCAAATATATTATGATTAACTAAAACACACAGATTACAGATGAAGAGTGTTAAAGCATGAAGGGGTGTTTTTCATTCCATCTTGTTTACTCCGATGTCTATAACTCCTTCTTTTTCTCCTCTTTATCTCATCCTCCTCCAGTCGCTTAGGCACTTCCCTTGATCTGCACAGTTTACAAGAGCTCTCCTGTGTGGCTCACATTATCATTTCACACAAAGACAGCCACAGATAGTGTTGGCGCATAAAATGAAAGAAGGGACAGTCTAAATCTCCTCCAATCATAACAAATCAGCGATTCAACCTCCGGCACCTGGCTAAGAAGATTACTGTCATTTTCCACCACTTGTCCCTTGTAGCTAACAACCTCCAATTAGCAAATCCTGCTGTGCATATCTGCGCCCTGACAGGGAGCCACCACGACAAGCAAAGAAATTAGAAGTCCTGCATGTTAATTCGCCATGCTCTGGCAATCTGTGTCAACATCATAACACTTGCAGGGGACAGACGTTTCAAAGGGAATTATGGCAGCCAAGGCACAGACATTAGAAAGAACAATAAGGTCCCAAAACAAACAGCACTACATTAGAGCTGTTTGAGGCAAGAGAGGGGACTTTTGGGAGCAAACGGAGGAAATCAAGTGAAGAAGGCTGCAATTATAAAGTTTGACTATTCAGTGGGGCATTTTATATTACCTGTTTTAGTAGGAAAAACCCCATGCAAAAAATAATAGAGAAACAATAATTTTGCTTTCATGACAATTATACTTTATTTTGCTATTTTACTGAGACACAGCATTTTATGAATTTATAGTTACCCATTTTTTAGATTTTTAGTTCCTCCAATATTCAAATGCTAAACATAAAGTGCACCCCAAACTTGTTTTTATTGGTAAAAATGTATAAAAAGCCTTAAAACACATATATATCAATTCAATTCAGTTTATGACATTTAACTAGATTATACAGGCAGATTGGTTCAAAGTTTTCTATCTAAGGAACACCAGCTGATTGCATAGACTTATTGACTCAAGGGCAATTCTTCACACCAAGCATGCTTGTAGCGACAGTGGAGAGGAAAACTCCCCTTTAACAGGAAGAAACCTCCAGTAAAAGCAGCCTCGGTGTGAGCGGCCATCTGCCAAGGCCAACTGGGGTTATATCTGTTATTGTACAAAAAAAAACCCTAAAAAATTTATAGCAGATTTATTCGAAAAACAAAATGCTTGATGAAATTATCAAATCACCTGTACATCACTCACAGCCTGATCTTCAAAGAAGTTAATACATACCTTTAAACTGCTTGTGCAAAAAATAGAAAATACATGTGCCTAAAGTGGGTGTGTTGTGGGTGATCTACTAAAAGCTAAGATCAAAAGTAAAATGATTTCATTAAAAGTTGGAAGCAATAGAAGTCAAAGTTAAAAGAGGAAATATAAATCATAAAACTGAGAAAAGATGACTCAGCCATTCTCTTGGACCCCTGTCTGACAGTCCATGGTCACCTTTATGGCATAATTAGGCTCTAAACAGCTTCTCTCAACACCAGATTGACTCAAAAGAATGAAAGCAAAGTTAGGCCTATCAGAATTTTATAAAACATATTAAAAAGTACAGAGTTTTGTAAAGAGAAAAAAATGTTCCCTTTTACTGCAAGTTGGTGCAGCACTATTTTAAGCATTTATTGTTTTTTATGTTTCGTACCACCATGTAACGCTTATGGAGATTCTTTTTTTTTTTTTTTTTTTTTTTTTACTTTTAAGCATAATTTAACATTTTTCAATCCTAGATGAAATACTACCTGGTCAGAGGTCTTACCTGTTGCTGCTGATTCATTCTGAATGGTAATCCTACAGGAACTGTTTTTTGCTGTAAACAGGTGGGTCCTGACGCTGAGATCTGTTGGTTCTGGAAATGGAGGGCTGAATGTGGCTGATTCTGGCTCGGTGGTGGTGACTGTTGATGTTGCTCTGTTTTGTTTAATGCATTTGTCAACATAGACATGGGCTGGCTGGCAGAATGAGGTGCTTTGGGGCTGAAGTGCAATGTGGGCTTAGAGCTGTGACCCTTCATGTCTAACTGATGGGAGCTATTGTGACCGTTTGACTTAAAGAGGCAGTTGCTGATCCCTTTATTATGGGCCCCAATCTTTTGCTGACTGAGTGTGGCCTGGTTAGAGACTTTTGCTTTGGGAAAGCTGCTGGTGGTGGGTTGAGTGCTCATAGATGGAGGCCAGGTCGTCATTCCTACATGCTGGGTCTGCTGTTGGTGATGGAGAAGGGAACCTGGCTGTTGTTGGTTTGCTGCCATCTGCTTAAGCTGTTGAGCATGGGATATTTCAGGCCAGCAGGGCATGGTTCTTGTGTGACCTGTCTGGGTATTTGCTTTCTGTGAAGAGTTGGTTGAAGATGTGCTGCTCAATGTGAATGAGGGACCTGCTGAGGCAGGCCGAAGCTGTGGTGAACCATTGGGACCTTGTCCAAAATCCTGCGACTGCTCGGTCTTTATCATCTTTTCCACTGGAGAAAGCAGAGTGGATGCTGCTCCAGCTGAATTTGGTCGACCAAGATCCAAACCAAACGTGTCATCCTGCTTTAGCATCTTCTCAAACTCAAGATCATTGAGTGGAGGCACTGACTTTGTCAGTTCATCGAAGAGATCCTGGAGTTCTGGGTCAATCTGCCCACTACCTTCATCTTTGAAGTCAAAAATCATCTCAGAGCTTGAATGACCACAAGACTGAATCTCTTGGGGCTCTTTTTTCATTTCTTTCAGAGTCATGTTAAAAATGTCAGACCCAATTCCATGGGGCATCATGTAGTTTTTTCTTTGCACGCCAATGGGTGAGGACCCTTGCAGAGGATGGGTTAAGTTTTGGTTGCAGGAACCATGACCCAGACCACCTGCGTCCAAACGGACACGCTTAAAGTCTGATCCAGAGAATCCACAAGAGAGGCCATTCTGCTTTGATACGTGTCCAGGGTTGTTTCCTTCCAATTTCCTTCGCAGGGATCCCGCAAGCTGCAAAACACAACACAAATGGTTACAGAGTTTTTTTTTCAATTCAATTCAATTCAGTTCATTTATATTGCGCCAATTCACAACACAAGTCATCTCAAGGCACTTTACAGTTCAACCAGATCATAGTCAAATTAATTCAAAGTTTTCTATCTAAGGAAAACCAGTTGATTGCATTGACTCATTGACACTAAGCATGCTTGTAGCGACAGTGGAGAGGAAAAACTCCCTTTTAACAGGAAGAAACCTCCAGCAGCACCAGGCTCAGTGTGAGCGGCCATCTGCTGAGGCCGACTGGGGTTCAAGGAGACAGAAGCAGAGATACAAAAAACAGCTGTAAAAGGCGGCCCCGTCCAGGAAACACACAGCCAGGCAGACGAGCACCGAGCCAACATTTTCTAACATTCTTTTACATCATGTTTACCATTCACTTGGTATGTAGTTTGAACCTATTGACCTATGACCTATTTTATATTTGACTTTCCAATTGAGCTAATTGTTCTAAACGCAAGACAATTAACAAAGGGAGGGACTTTACAATGTACTTTTATAACATATATAATGGTAAATGGCCTCTACTTATATATCCTTTCCTTGATTTAAAGGGTTTTAAATGAGGGGGAAGGGAAAGAACCATAATAATGGAATTGAAAGGAATGCAGACCCTCCTGCGCCTGTTTTTGTACACTGTCACTTAAATTGCTCAAAAGGGGCTCCTAAATTAGTTTACTCTCTTATGTACCATTTACACTCCCCCTCTGAAACCGATCTATGCCTTGTTCGGACTGAGCTTGGATTAGTTTAACCGTGTCAAGTTCGGTTCTTACAATCAAATAGACATCACCCTAGCACGGTTCCTGCCCTCCTATTTCCGGTCTGCAATACTACAGCTCTCAAGGCAGGAATAGTGCAAACAAAATTGCGGCATTCTTAACATTAAGGAACATATGTGCCTGGATAATGTTGTCTGCCCAAATTTCAATGAGAGCCTCAGTCTCGGCATCATCCCAGGTCGCTCCACGCTCTTTTGATGACACTAACTGTTAATAGGCTGAGAAGAAGTTCATGTTGTGAACAGGTGAAGAGATCTGTGAATTGTAAAGCCAGACATGCCGGAAACCCAGCAAAATGAGTCAGCTGGCTGTAAACAGGAGATGACGTGGCCTGCTCGTGGGTTCTTTGTTATCAGATAACCGAGCCACAACTGAACAGTGCCAAGCCATAGAATAGTAATAGAATTAGAGCTAGATTCGGTGTGGTTCGGGTGCGTCTGGCATGGTCACAGTTATCTCGGCTGCCATTCTTGTCACAGTTTCAAAAGGGTACTGTAAATGGGGCTTTAAAGAGGGAGCATTTCTAGGTTAACAAATAGTTCGGTTATTGAAGATCATAGTGTGGAAACTAAAGTAACTACAATTACTAAAATACTACTCACCGTATGAACTCACTTAGGGGAAAAAAATAGAAATAAAAAATATTTTTTAAAGGTTGTAAACAGATTAAACATAAACAAAGATTTAAATATATAGCCCATATAACTGACATATGTAAAAATATTTTGTATATGGAATAACTTCTCAGTCATTTTTCATTGATTTACTTCTAATATGTCTTAACTCTGACTAAAATGTGGTGGCAAAATGTTTCCAAATTTATTTTTGATAAGGGTTAAATACACAGTAACAAACATAAGTGTTTTACTTGCAGCACCTTAGGTGTTTGGTGGTTTTACATGAATCAGTAACAATGGTTTACAATATCTGAAGGTCAGCTTTAAAACCATACACTTCATTGTTACTTTTTATTTAAAGAGAAGAAGAATGCGTTGAGAATTTAATACCTACACCCATTTTTGTGTTTATTCTATAGGATAATATAGGATATAAAAGAAGTAATGTCAACATTGTAAGTATAATACATATTTAATACCATTTTGGTATTAGAATAATTAATTGCTGTTTTTCTTTTTTAAATGGTAGCAACAAGATCTTGAAATAAATTTTCATATGCAATTTAACGTAAATACAATCATTCCATGAATCTGCATTATTTCGACCTCAGGATTGTTTCATTAGTGATGATCTCAGGCGTATGACTGACTCTAAATTATCTGCTCACTTTAGTTTGTACAATTACATAATTTGATCATTTAAAAAAATGCAGAAAATACCCATTTTTTTGAATATTGTAAAAGCAGTAATCGGACAATAAAAAAACTGGCTTGGCTGTAATGTAGTTTGAAGCAGTGGATAGGAAGAGAAGATAGTTAGGAATCTGATACAGACTGAAAGGGGAAGAATAGCTTCTTTGTCTGTTTCCCTCATTTGCATACATTATATTTTCCACCATTGTGCTTGGTTAGATAGCAGAGTTTCTCCTTTGTGGCTGAGATTCTGCTTAACATGCTGGTGCAGATATCTGATTTCCTTTTGTGCCGTGCCTATGTCTTCATTTAGGTATGAACATGGCAATGACTCACAGCTTTAGCTGCTGTGCTGTACTCCACAAAACTGTTACATGTTCACAAAGCAACCCACTGAACAGAACCAAATATTTTTAGGAAGTTGTTTTCAAACTAATAAATCTCATTCTCCATCTTAAGTCAGTGAGTCACTGAAAACAATCTGTTGGAATTAAACATTTAAGCATTAATCTCATGCTTGTGTTTACACACACACACCAAAAAGACGTGTCTTGCCATGTTTTAATGCTACGGCTGCATGAAAACAAAATGGCTCTGGTTTGGGTCCAGCATGCATACAGGAGAGCAGTATCAATGTGTGTTGTCTGTTTTACTGTGGGAACAAATTTGAGTCATTTCAACCTGCTGGCAAACATTGTATTAAGATGATTCACTGCCTGAGGGTGAGTGTGGATTCTACACTTCACTTCATTTCTGCTCTCCTCAAGCTTGTATTATGCGGTCTATGCCTCACAAAACCTTTTTTGCTATTAAAAACGAAAAATTTGCAATATTTGAAAGCAGTTAAAAAACCTCTTGGTGTTGTGCATAGTTACTAAACTTAACTAAGCCGTGTATTACATTCTACATCTTTGGTACTTAAAAAAGTAAAAATTATATAAAGGGACACAAAACACAAGCTTGTACTTCATAGTATTTAGATAAATGAATAAATTAGTAAGATGTTACCTGGGAAAAATGAAATTAAATTGAAAGGATTTAGTTGGTTTTCTAACCAAGTATAGTGATGTCATCAAATGCAAATATGTTTGCATACTCTCTAGAATCTAGAAAGCCCATAGGCTGCAATATGTATATCTAGTTCAACCCCTCCCCACACACACACACACACACAAACAAAATTTTTTTTTTTGCATCTACAATTTGCAGAACTTTGAAAGCAACATCTTTAGCTCTAAAAAGCATATACATTTCTATCCACCCGTTTTCTCCCGCTTAGCCCTTGTCAGGGTCGGAATAGGGCCAGTACCTATCTCCTGCAGTCGAGAGGCGGGGTACACCCTGGACAGGTCACCAGGACAGGGTAACACACAGAGACACACATCCATGCACGCACACGCTCACACCTAAGGACAATTTTCAGAAGCCAATTAACCTAACTGTCATGTGTTGGGCTGTGAAAGGAAGCCGGGTACCCGGAGAAAACTCAAGCATGCATGTGGAGAACATGCAAACACCATGCAGAAAGACCATGAGAACAAGAATCGAACTCAGAACCCTTTTGCTACAAGGCAACAGCGCTACCCACAGCTCCACCGTGCAGCACTCGATATATAGTTTTCAAAAAAATAAATAAGTAAATAAATCGTTTTTACCCATTTAAAAATAACTACAATACAAAAGAACTTGAATTAGATGTTGCAGCTCAGTCTCTGCCTCTGTTATGTAACGGATTATAGGCATCTGGTTATACAAAATAACATAGGAAACATGTAAGTCTTAGTTTACTAGCTAAATGCTCTCACATAACTAAATTTAACACATTATTCCCACTATGTTCCCTGGCTAAACAATTTATTATTAATATACAGTTATTCAGTTTATTCAAATATTGCAAACAGCATTCAAAACTGCATCAAAATCCTTGCGTATTATGTTTTGTGTCTAAAGACACTGAGTGCTCCATATCAGTCAAAACATCTGGCATATTTTACAATAATATTCAGGGTTGCACAGTGGGCAACAGTGTTGCCTTAGAGGACAAAGTTTCTGGGTTTGATTCCCAGGCAGGGTCTTTCTGCATGGAGTTTGCATGTCCTCCCTCCCATGCGTGGATTAGGTAGTTAAACTAAAAACCCCAAAACACAACTGTCAGGTTAATTGGCAACTAATTTGACCTTTGTGTGTGCATGGTGGTGTGTCTCTGTGTTTCCCTGCGATAGACTTGCAACCTGTCTATTTTGCCCATCAGCTGCTGGAGATAGGCACCAGCCCCACTGCGAACCTGCTGGAATAACCGGGAGAAGATGGACGGATGGACAATGACACTCATAGTGAAAGCAAAATGGTACCGGTTGCTGCAGTTTCCTTTGTGTCATGTGAATTGCTAAATCAGCTGGGATAACTATTTCAAGCAAATATGAAATAATAAATAAATTTCATACAGTTAATTCAACATAAAGCACAAAGTTATTGTGCAAGAACAAAATTGGGGTTAGTGCAAAGGAATATCAAAATTGTTCAGCCCTAATCTCAACTAAATCAAACTTTATTTAACCCCACTTAATATAAGTCTGATCAAAAAAATTATTTATTAAGGTTTTCTATTTACAACCTGCGCCCTTCCATGTGCAAACATACAATCCCTGAGCCAGGGAGCCTCGGTGACAATAATGACACTGATTCATTCAGAGGGAGCAGCTTGATTAGCTGCTGTACTGATCTATAGCCGTCCATTAGCTTAGCTTGCCTGAACTCCCTTAAGTAAAAAACCTCAGATCAGTACAGTGGAAGCAAATCCGGGCTAAAAGGCAGGAAACTTACGGGTCTCCAGAGCACTTGATGCATTAAGTAATGAATG